TCACTAACTCTGCTAACTAACACTGCTAACTAACACTGTTTACTAACGCTGTTAACTAACTCTGCTAACTAACACTGTTCACTAACTCTGCTAACTAACTCTGCTAACTAACTCTCTTAACTAACTCTGCTAGCGTCCGTCCTGTGGCTCCAGTGAAAACGTGTAGTGAAGTGCAATGGTTGAAACTCTACTTGATAAACCAGCTGTGAATCAGTTCAGGGTCGAACCTCGTGACCGTGTTGACTGTTAGTTCAATGAATTCACATTAATATAGTTTTGCTGGAGTCTGAGGGGAAACAGCAGCTGAGTCAATGATAACTGATTCTCATGTGTCCTCCCAGTGTCCACAAGCCCCGACATTCAAGCTCAACTTGAGACGAGGTCATCTGCAGCAAGTGTTGAGCCTGAATGTCTCTGTCATCCGTCCCCGCGCCTCGTTCACGCCTGGATTAGAGACAGTCAGGCTCAACACTTGGTATTTGAATGTCTTGGCTTGTGGACACATGGAGGACACCACAGACTCCAGGCTGGATGTTCTGTTTCTTTTCTGTTTTATTGCGTCTGAAGAATCGAGCACCAATGACTTCAGATGAGAACGAGCCTTTAACAGTCACAAGTAATTACATTTACACCGTATTGAAGATTTGACTGAAGAAACTGGAGCTCGCCTGCCTTGCTCAAAGGCTTCTCGGTGAAGAATGAAGATTCATCCTGGAACTCAAACCAGAGTCCTCGCGGTTGTTTCATCACCTGCTGCTAACCTGCTGTTGTTTGTCTCCTCCAGCCTCATCGAAAGAAGAAGTCGTTCATTGAGAAGAAGAAGGCCGTGACCTTTCACCTCGTCCACAGGAGTCAGAAGGATCCGCTGGCCGCAGATGAGACGGCGCCGCAGCACGTCCTCCTGCCCGCCATCAAGGTTCAGATCAACCTAAGAGATTAAGACAATAATAATCACCTCGTCGTTTCATTCTCTTCAATGAGGAGAACTGAAGTTGAGACAAATCTGTTGAAATATGAAAATAAATGTCCAGTTTGTCTCCGTTGAAGAGTGAAACATGACGGTTCATGAACTCTGGGATTTGACCCAGTGACCAGAAGTCAGATAAATGAATCAGTTGGATTTTATCTGATCATCTATCACTTCACTGAACTTGAGACATTTCTCCAGGTGGAGGCGGAGAAGAGACGCAAGGAGCAGAGGGATTTTGGTGTTTTCTACGATGACGACTACAATTACCTGCAGCACCTGAAGGAGGCTTCGGGCCCGTCTGAGCTGGTGGCGGCGGCGGCGGCCAACCCCCCCAACACCAACAGACGTCCTCTTCACCTACGTGATGAAGATGAGCAGAACGAGGAGGAGGAGGGTGACACGGACCAGGCACCTCCTGTGAGTTTACGGCTGCCTCCACACTACTACGTTTTAACACACAGCGCTGTTGCTACGGCAACGTCTGCTGTTAACGCTACTCTGGCGATTAAAGACGTGATGTCTGTGGTCACGTGATGTTTGTGGTCACGTGATGTGCGTTGGTGAAAGTTTCAGATGATCACACTCAGTTTGCGGGTCATCGTTTTGTGTGTTTGAGCTGAAAGAGGAAGCGGGGGATAGTTTGTTTTAGGGGGTGGCGCCATCAAGTGGTAATTTGTGAAACATTTTAAATGGTTGTGTCGATGATTTTACTGGTAAACTCTGATGTTTGAGGCAAAGAAGCAAAATAATAGATTTCTTGAATTCCTCAGTGCAGCAGTCACTGATTACTCTCCTGTATTTTATTGTATTTACTGTTTTAAAAAGTGATTTTTGTTTTTCACCATCAGGCCGCCACCATCAACCTGCCCTCGTCTGTGTTCGCCTCAGAGTTTGAGGAGGAGGTTGGACTCCTTAACAAAGCTGCTCCTATCTCAGGTAAATAAATGAGTAGGAGACGTGTGTGTAAGCCAGCATGATCGTTCCAAGTGTACGTGAGTGGTCACGTGTGTTTTCATGCGTGTCGGTGTGGACGGGGTTTAAAACTGATCCAGAGCCACAACACAAAGAATTGTTTTAGTTTGAAAACGTAGTCGTGTGGATGTAGCCTGAAAAAGCATCGTCCTCATTGTCTCGTCTTTCCTTCAGGACCTCGTCTGGACATGGACCCCGACATCGTGGCTGCTCTCGACGAAGACTTCGACTACGACGACCCTGACAACATCCTGGACGATGACTTTATGATCCGAGCAAACGCAGCGAGCAGAGCTGTGGACACGAAGTAAGAAATAAGGTCTTAATATATTTTTGACCTCCAGGAAAGGAGGTTGTGTTTTCATTGGCATTTGTTTGACATTTGTTTTGAGGGCAGCGAGCCAAGAGACCCGACGATTGTATTTCGGTTTGTCTCCGGATCAAGGGACAGATCCAGGATCAGTCTAATTGATTTCTCAGAGAACCAGTCTTGGAGATCGTGATGTTGAGAGGACTGATATTTATGAGTGGGAGTTTAGGATCTAGTGAATTCCGATGTGGTTCCATAAGGAGGCTGTTGAAGGAGGTGCAGGTGTGATTACTTTATTTTTAATGAAAGTTATCTCACGTGTTTTCACGATGTTCTGAACAGAAACTTGTATAGTTTCATTTTCTACATAAAAGATTCATCATATAAAGGTTTAAACATATTCTTCAGAATTCCTTCACTATCAATACAACAAAATAATTAAGTTTAACCACACATGAGTAACTTCACTCTATGTTTAACCTCTGTTACCAATTATTGGCAAAGTTTTCCGATAAGAACAAAAAGACTTTAGGAAAATATAACAATGATTTTATAGAACTGAACAGACAAATAGTTTTTTTAAATATAACAACTGATGCATCAATAATGAAAGTATCTGTTAGTCGCAGCCCTAATTGTGATTTCCTGTTTGTGTGTAATCTGTGACAGAGGTGACATGGATGAAGATGATGATGATGAGTGGGAGGACACGGACGAGGATAGCGACTTGGACTCTGAGGGAGGATTTTCGGGCGATGAGGACGGCCGCGGGCGAGAGTTTCTGTTCATGGACGAGGAGACAAAGAGTCGATTCACAGAGTACTCCATGACGTCGTCTGTGATGAGGAGGAACGAGCAGCTATCTCTGCTCGACGACCGCTTTGAGAAGGTAACGATCCAACACGACGCAGATATCTGAGTGAGGACCTCGGGGCTTTCTCCAGCTGATGTCCCAGTGAGCTGGAGATCCACTGCACGTTCACCCTGGTTGAGCGGGTGTGTTGGTTAGGATTCTAACGCACGACGGACGCAACACTGACAACAAAAAGAATACTGATTTCTCAGGATGAAAAGGAGGAAGACACTGAAGCAGCTTTTGGTGACAATGCTGGTTCATGTGTGAAAGACAAACTCCGGAGAAAGTCTGGACCCAACTGTGTGAACATTCTCTAGAAGTCATGTCTGCGTCTTTTTACTTGTTTGTCTGTTTCTATTTCCTACTTAATCAAAAACCCGTCATCTGTTTTTGTTTTTGTCGTTTTAGTTTTACGAACAGTTCGATGACGACGAGATCGGAGCTTTGGACAACGCCGAGCTGGAGGGCTTCATCAACCCGGACAGTGCTCGTCTGGAGGAGGTCATAAAAGACTATTTCAAACAGAAACAGAACGAGTGAGTGACGTTTGTTTTTCTGTCGTCTGATATTTTTCTGACGAAGGCAGCATCGGTCGGAAGATGCTGCTTTAATTGACCTCTGGTGCCGAAACTGTTTCCTGTTCCTCGTTCAGTTTCCTGAGGCCTGATGACTTGGGTCCAAAGGAGCTTCCTGTCGTGAGAGAGGAGGACGAAGATGAGGAGGAGGAAGAGGAGATGGAAACTGTTGTTGTCCAGGCTCCAGAAGAGAAGTGGGACTGTGAAACCATCATCAGTGAGTTTGATTTCCACTTGGCTCTCTTCTTTAACTGTACGAACTAGTCTGAGAAGTAATTCTTCAATGAAGGAGAGTAAAATATGATGTTTGTGTCTCGTTCCTTTTCTGCAGGTACGTACTCCAACATTTACAACAGACCCAAAGTCATTGCAGATCCACCAAAGGTATGAAAACCCTTCAAGGGACAAAGATCACAAAACAATCACAGGGCAGTGAGTGCATTTTTCCTTCTGTCCTCAGCCGAAGACGATCCGTGTGTCCAGCAAGACGGGCATCCCGTTGGACGTCCTCCCCGCCAGAGGCCTGACAGCCAAGCAGGCGGAGCGCATGACGATGATCAACGACTCGGACCTTCCCCGCGTCTCCACCCAGCCCCGGAGTAAAGAGGAGAGCAAAGAGGAGAGAAAGTCAAGGAAAATGGCCGTCAAAGACGAACGCAAGGTGAGACACGCAGACGGACGTGACACTGATCTGCTTTGTGCAGATAAAAACAAATACACCAGACGACATGAAGTTTGTATTTATCCAGATCTTGTCTCGTTGCGATGACACTCAAAGAAGTTACAGAACAGTTTTCATTCACACACACATTCATACAGTGCATCTATTAGCAGAGCTTTTTTTCTATGGGGCAATTTGGGGTTCAGCATCTTGCCCGAGGACACTTCTGCATGCAGATGGGGACGACTGGGGATTGAACTGCCGACCTTCTGGTTGGAGAATGGCCCCCTGGTGGCCATGTTAGCAGCAGGAACACGAACCAAACAAAAGAAATGATTGTGAATGTTAAATATCAGCAGGACGTTAATACTGCGGCTATGACGTCAGCAGCACAAGATGGCGGCGCACGTCTCCTGGATGTTTTATCTTCATCTTTAGTCTGATGTCATGTGACCTGAACAAAGTGTTAAACTCGGTTTCTGCTTGTTCAGGAGAGGAGGGCCGAGAAGAAAGCCAACAAGGTGGCGTTCAAGGAAGAGAAGGTCCGACAGCAGAAGCAGATGCTGAACCTGAGGACAAACATTCAAGGCCTGAAGCTTTAGTAACGGACGGGCGGAGCTCCGCCCACACAGACTCTTAACCCGTCAATGATGTCATCAGTCGACAGGATGGCAAACCCCTCCCCCCACAAACACGAGAGGACGGGGGGGGGCGGGGACTCTGGGTTTATCAACGTGGAGCCGAGAAGTTTTCTCAAATCAGCACGAGATAAAAACCGATGAAGTGAATCTTGTGACTGTTTGAAATTCAGGATTAATAAAACGCTGCCTGTCGAGCTCGAGGCTTTCGTCTTATGCTTATGTTTGTGTCTCGTCGATGATCCGTGATAATGATTCAAGTTTGTCAGGTTTTTTTCTTGGCTGCTGCTCAAGTCAAACCCCGTCTCTCAGTCGCTCTGCCGACAGTCTCCTCTTCCCTGAACTGGATCTGTTCCGTCCTCCCACGAAGTGTCGGAGACATTTGTTCAGTTGTTTTTGTAGAATCCTGCTGAGTGTGTGTTAAACGGTCTCATTTACCTCGAGTCATCATCGCTGAACAAACACTTTAAATACGTTTGGAGAATATTTCTGTGTTGTTCGTGTTTATGGAAAAATTAAAAACACTTTAGTACGATTTTTTTTGATATTTCATATTTTCGTCATCATACTGCAATTCTCCAATTGCCCGACGGGAGCTGCTCTGCCTGAGCGTCAGGTGGAGAAACAATTAAAAACTCAAGAGCAAATATTCATGTAAATCTGTGTTTAATTTAAAAAAAAAACAAATTTAACATTTGTTCTAAAATTACTTAACGAGATCAATTACGACTTCATAAAAACAAGTGTTGAGGCAAATATTAAAAACATTAAGACCCTGATAGTTTAAGTCCAGAGAGAGAATCACTCCCACACGTTATCTTCACAGCCAGGTCACCCTGTGGATTTTATGATGCCAACAAACCCGCTGAGATCAGAGTCCAGGATTCTCTGAGGTTCACAGTTGAATCTACAACATTAAAAAGTCTTTTAAGGCGTCAGCTAGTTTTATTTATCTGGCTCCTGAGAACAGTCATGTTTTAAATTCTGTGTTTGCTCTGGGCGACCCACACCTTGCCATGAAAAGGTACCTGCTTCTTCAGCGTTCTCATAAACGTGTTGGCTGGACACGGTTTGATGCTGAACCGTCCCTTAAAACAAAGAAAGAATTCATAACAACAGTTTAAAAAGAAATCCTGAGATCTTTGATTTAAAAACTTCTCTGTTCTTAATAATCTGCGTCTCATAAAAATCCCACAGGAGCTGAGATCCAGATGCAAAACAGCTGGAAGGTTTAAATCCCCCCCCCCCCCCCCCCCCCCGAGCAGAGAGTTTCCTAATGTTGAGAGGTCGGAGCAAAGTGCTGTGTGGTCGTGTTTGGGTGTAAACGTCGTTCTCATCGTCTCTGTGATGTTGTGGTGAAGGATCCGGTGGCGTCCCGGTTCTCCCCCGGGTTGTTGCTCACCTCGGCAAACAGCCACAAGACAAACCGACCACACTCGTAAACGTGACGTGTTAAAAACGAAGGTTTCGTTTTTCTGGAGGTGACAGAGCAAACAGAAGAGGTTTGAGGGTGATTGGGGGGGGGAACCTCCAGCTGTTCTCCGGCGTCTCTTGGTCTGGGTCAGTCATTAGAACAGTCATCAGACCCAAACCTCTGACGGTTCGTTCTATCTCTCTCTGTAACCCTCCGCTGTGTCTCCCCCCAAGTCCACCCTCACCACGTGCTGGCGGTCATAATTCCCTACAGCTCTCTGCTCCTCCTCGTCTGCAGGCTCCTCGTCTGCAGGCTCCTCGTACATCATCTCCATGGCCTCCTGGTCTCCTCCCTCTGACAGTCCTCCCACCATGTAGAGAGATCCGGTCATGTAGCGTAAATCCGAGCAGGTGCCGCCGTCCTGGAGGCCGCCGTCCTCCGAGCTGACTGAAGAGCTCCTGCTGCGTTCCATGACCATTACAGGGCTGACCACTTCTTCGATGACCGGGTTCAATAAGTTGCGCTCATCATCATATGGCTCTAAGTCCTGGCAGAGACGAGACGAGGACACATGTCAGATTTCACAAAAAGATAGAAGTCTACGTTCCTTCCATTTGCTTTTGTCCAAATCAGAAAAGTTACCAGAGCTTTCGGTGTCTTCTGTGTCTTCTGTGTCTTCTGTGTCCAGGCTCTCGCGATGCAGATGCTAATTGTTAACACACCGATTATGAGGACAAAGACGGTCAGCAGGATGGAGAGCGTTATCTCATGGGCCTCTGCAAAACAAAAACCAACAGGTCATACCTCCACCAAACTTGAAATCACATTTAAACTCAACAGATCCTGCTTCTTATTCTGATCTGCACCAAATCACACACACTCAGAAATCCATGAATGATTCTGAGAAACATTAGTGAAACAACACTTCCTGGATCTCTCATCCTTCCTCCAAGTTGACGGGAGGTCGGTTCCGTAGTTTTTGCGTAATCCTGCAAACTAGTAAACAAACAAACAGAAGCAGAACCTCCGGGTGACGTCAATAATAAAATGGTGTCTGGGTGTTTGACTGACTGCTGGGTTTTGTGGGACAGATGCGTCCGGTCTCTCTGACCTCCACTTCTTCGGCCCGGTTCGAGGAATACAACCTTCCCTTGACCTTGATGCACTGCTCCTTGCCGTGCGAGAGTTCGTATCTGCAAATGACCTCAGTCGATTTGCAATAGGACGTGTATTCATCCTGGAAGTCAGAGAAACATCTTACTTAATATATTTATTCAGACAGAGAATCGATCTTCTGGTTTGACATCTCCTCAAAGACTTAATACTGATGACCTCACCGGTTTTATGAGAGAATTACTTTGTTACTCAAACTGAATTTCACCGAATCATCTACACGAGGTTGTGGAGGAAAAAATTGTGGAATAAAAAAGATTTTATTCTGAACATTTCAACTTTTTTTTCTCAAAAATGCTAAATAAGAAATTCTCTTCTGATTTAATTTAACTTTATTCTCAAAGTAAAAAAAAAAAACTTTTTCAACTTTATTCTCCGTAAGCAAACATCTCCTGGGATTTAGTTTGAATTGAAATATGATTCTTTCCTGCCTTTTGCACTTGTGGAATCTTTGAACCGTTCTTCATCCGATCGAAGGAGATGTCGAATGCAAAGACTTGCAGCTTGTCGGCCTTCTTCAGTTCTGAGTAGAAGTGGAAGGGATTCTGGAAAGTGACGGTGATGCCGGAGTTGCCTGCCGTCACGTCGACAGGAGGGAAGTCTAACACACCTGCAGAGAAAAGTCTGGGTTTCATGTCTGAGAAGGAAACGTCTCGCCTGAGCCACAGAGCAGGAAGTGACCTGGTACTCACAGTATTTATGAGCCGGCCGGTCCTTGTTGAAGGTGAAGGATTTGGACTGGACCGGCTGGGACTGCCCCCCCTGCTGTAGAGCTGTTACATTCACTGAGTGGAAACCCATGAAGTGAGCCTGAGACTCCCAGATGAACCGGGTCAGATCATACTGATGCTCCGTGGTCACATTCACATGTCGCCTTCAAACAGGAAACAAACACACACCAACTGTAAGTGGGACGTTTCTGTCACATACAGCAAGAGAACTGTATCTTCAAAGTAAAAGCACAATGTTTGTTCTGCTGCTGCAGTGCTCAATATCGAGCTGAATTACTCTTATTTTGAAACGTTGCGAACACGGGTCTGAAGATTGTGTCGCTTGTTTTAACAGATTCTGAATCAGTCGTCATGTAACGCATTCAAACTTATGTATATTTAAAGAAAATTCAGTTTCATCTGATGAAAACGATCAAATCTTCAGTGCAGATAAACCAGGGAGGATGAACACAAAGTTTTCTAATTCACAGAAGAGCTTGAGGACAACTCACTAATGACAAGGAATAATTCTGAAGCATCAACACAGGACAAGAGAACACAACACACACACTTCCTGTATAATATAATATGAGAACACAACGTTACACTCGTACGTGCGTAGATAGATGCAGTTAATTGTCAGTTCCTGTCTCTGTCCACATCGGAACAATACAATCAAACCACACATATTTACTTTTTATTAAGTGAATTTAATTTAATTGAGCAGAACGAGTCTCACCCATCGGAGCTAACGGTTTCCACTCTGAAGCTGGTGCTAGGCTGCTGTTCGCCGAACTCCCAGCTGACCCATGTTTTCAGATTCTCGCAGCTCACCGTCACGTTCCTCGGGGGCAGAACTGAAACAAACACGAGAGAGGAGAGACATAAATAAACCGGGGCTCAGCTTCAAATGCAGGGATTCACCAGCATGACCTCGGTTCGAGCCCCTAAGCTGCAGTTTGTCAGTTTATTAGGTACACCTGACTCAAACCACATCAGTCCTGCAGGAAGTGTCGAAGAACACACCTCACATCTCACTGGGAGGATTCATCACGACCCAACGAAGACCTCATGAAGGTTTGGTGCAGATCAGGATTTTGTTTTTATCTGGTTCTTTAATATTCTGACGTTTTTAAACTTTTCACTTGACTTCTCTGAGAATAATTCCTGGATTTGTTTAGAGGACGAGGTCTTTGAGTGTGTGGAGTTTGAGAAAACCTGGATCTGGTGAATTTAAACTTGGCTTCATAGGGAGACTGTTGAATACAGCAGGATAGTTTGTGCTTAATAAAGAGGGGTTGATAACTGACGATAATCAAACATCAGAATGTTCATTCATGGTCTGAAGATGAGAAACACTGAGGGTGAAGTGATGAAGGCAGATCTGTTGATACACGACTATTGTGCCGGTAAACGACAACCATGCTGCTTCATGACTCACAACTCTGCCCGACAAAACACTTCTGATGGTGGGAGTGTTGCTTGAGGGTGTGTTGCATTCTTTCTTTTCACGCTGCGTCCTGACAGCACCATGGTCACCAGCAGTGATCCAGCCAATGTACAACACCAGGTTTAAATAAACCAGAGACGAGCTCTGCTTGCTCTTCAACATTCCAGCCCTCGTCCTCTTGCAGCTGCTGACTCACCAGGTCGGATTTTTCTTTAGAAGAATTCATCGTTTTAATTCACCAGATCCAGGTTTTTATTTGGGTTCCACACACTCATAGACATCGTCCTCGAAACACGCCTGTGTGGGTTTCACCAAAATCCAGGAATTATTCACGTCAGAATGTTAAAGAACGATATCGCTGTCGGTGATAAGTCAACGTTCCCTGTGGCGTTGGATTAAAATAGGACTTTAACACTTCCTGCAGGACGGGTGTGTTGGACGGCATTAGTTTGAGTCAGGTGTACCTAATAAACTGACAAACCACAGCTTTGATTCCCAGAGAAGCAGGTGGAGGGACGTGTTGTGGGTCAGAGGAGAGCTAATTTGATTTTGGTTCGGTTCTGGGTCCGTCTTCATGATCCCTTACGACCAAAACAAACAGTCGACAGGAGAGCAGGAGTTTTACCTCCGTCATTGGGAGTGACATCAGAGAAGCTACAGCTAAAGAGGATATGACGCAATCAAAATGAAACGTCCTGTAAAGGGACAAATTGAATAGTGGATTTATCACTGATTGTTAACATAGTACAGGTTTAGTTTGTTTTTCTCTGTTTGTTTTAAACAGGAGGAGGCCATTTTTTATTTTGGGGCACGGAGAGGAGGTCTCTCTCTCCTGGGAGACAGGACGTCTCTGAGCGGCAGTTTGCTCAGATTGTTTCTGTGACTCTCAAATTAAGACTCAACTACAGTCGATCTATGGTTATGAATTAGTGACCTGACTGAAAACCACGAGACAGTTGAAACTCTGAGGATGTGACAGTCACCAGCAGCAGAATGTGAAAGTAATGCAACAGGAAATATCTGGAATAAAAAATCTGTCACCGTGCAAACATTTTAAATTTATTTAAGAAAGAGGCGAGGCAAGAAAAACTCCCCACGTCATTTTTAAAGAACGAACTGAATCAGAAGAAGTTTTTGTTTGTTCAAAAGAATTCTATGAATACCTTAAAGCCTCCAGATGTAGAAACACTGTGCGGTTACTCATTAAACGGAAAGAACCAATAAAATCTACGACAGTAATAATTGAACCTGGACCATGAACCGAAGATTTATTATCAGAACAGTATCACACCGTGTCAAAGATTAAATGCTGTAAATCCAAGTTCCATCATTCCTCGTTGCTGATATATATTTGGGGATTTAACAAATGTATTTATTTATTTTACCTTTTGAATTGAATTGAACTTAAAAAAAAAATCTAATTTTATTTTCACAGCTTTTTCAAAACTATAAAAATAAAGATGTGTATCCAAGTTTTTATACATGAGAAAATATCTGCCGCAGTAATCATAGAGGTGTTTAAAACAACACGTGAGTTGGCTTAAAATACTTTTATTTTAGTAAAACAGTTTAATAAACGATAGTTTTGTTCATTGATAACCTTTTTATCTCAGCTGTATTTACTTTACATTGATTTCTTTCAGGTTAAAAGAGTCTGTTTGCTGAAGGATTAAGTCTCAATCTTAATAATTAACACTTAAAGTTCTTTTTGCTGATACTTTCGTTCTTTTACTTGTACTGGATTACTTTTATAGGCTACTGTGGTGTTTCTACTTTGGCTGAGGAGCGGAGTACTTCTTTTAGTAGTATGTTCAGTGACACTGAGATATTGAGAAGTAGTAGTAGTAAAACTCACCTGTCAGAGCTGACACCGAGCTGAGCAGCAGCAGCAGCGCGGCAGTGAACGCACCGTCCGGAGGCATGATTCCGTCCGAGCCCCGGAGCCCAGCACCGACCGGACCAGGCTTCACAATCACTGACCTCTTCACTTCCGGCTTCTGTACCTGCGAGAGAACCGACACACCGGAGTGACTGTCGACTGGGGGAGGGGCCGAGCATGTTGGAAAACACCTGGATGACGTCAGAGGACGTGATGAGATCCACGCCTTTAGTTTTTCAACTGAAACCATTCACAGGTAAGTTTAATGAATCTGATGAGAGAGAGAGAGAGAGAGAGAGAGAGAGAGAGAGAG